CTCCTCACAGATCATTTGATATTTATTTTTTATATATTTTATTGATTATGCTATTACAGTTGTCCCATTTCCCCCCTTCACTCCCCTCCACCCTGCATACCCTCTCCCACCCACATCCCCCCCCTTTAGTTTATGTCCATGTGTCATAAGTTCTTTGCCTTCTACATTTCCCATACTATTCTTGCCCTCCCCCTGTCTATTTTCTACCTACAATCTATGCTACTTATTCTCTGTACCTTTTCCCCCTCTCTCCTCCTCCCACTCCCCTGTTGCTAACCCTCCATGTGATCTCCATTTCTGTGGCTCTGTTCCTGTTCTAGTTGTTTGCTTAGTTTGTTTTGGTTTTGCTTTAGGTGTGGTTGTTAATAATTGTGAGTTTGCTGTCATTTTACTATACACGTTTTTGATCTTCTTTTCCTTAGATAAGTCCCTTTAACATTTCATAAAATAAGGGCTTGGTGATGATGAACTCCTTTAACTTGACCTTATCTGAGAAGCACTTTGTCTGCCCTTCCATTCTAAATGAAAGCTTTGCTGGACAGAGTAATCTGCGACGTAGGTCCTTGTCTTTCATGACTTGGAATACTTCTTTCCAGCCCCTTCTTGCCTGCAAGGTCTCTTTGGAGAAATCAGCTGACAGTCTGATGGGAACTCCTTTGTAGGTTACTGTCCCTTTATCTCTTGCTGCTTCTAGGATTCTCTCCTTCATTTTTCCCTTGGCTAATGTAATTATGATGTACCTTGGTGTGTTCCTCCTTGGGTCCAACTTCTCTGGGACTCTCTGAGCTTCCTGGACTTCCTGGAAGTCTATTTCCTTGGCCAGATTGGGGAAGTTCTCCATTATTATTTGTTCAAATAACTTTTCCACTTGTTGCTCTTCCTCTTCTCCCTCTGGTACCTATTATTCAGATGTTGGAATGTTTAAAGATGTCCCGGAGGTTTCTAAGCTTCTCCTCATTTTTTTGGATTCTTATTTCTCCATTCTTTTCTGTTTGGTTGTTTCTTTCTTCCTTCTGGTCCACTCCATTGATTTGAGTCCCAGTTTCCTTCCCATCACTATTGGTTCCCTGTGCATTTTCCTTCATTTCACGTATTGTAGCCTTCATTTTTTCATCTAATTTGTGACCAAAATCAACCAATTCTGTGAGCATCCTGATCACCAGTGTTTTGAACTGTGCATCTGATAGGTTGGCTATGTCTTCAATTGCTTAGTTGTATTTTTTCTGGAGCTTTGATCTGTTCTTCTGTTTTGGCCATTTTTTTTTTTCTTATCGAATCTGTTACATATGAGGGGTGGAGCCTTAGGTGTTCACCAAGGCAGGGCAACCCAGTTGCTGGGTTGTGACCTTGTATGTCGGGCAGGGTTGGAGAGGGAAAAATGGTGCTTGCTCCACTCTCTGTCAGATTTCAGTCCCTTCTGCCACTTCCTCCAAGCTAACTGGGCCTTTCTGGTGCTGATTCCTGTGTGGGTGGGCTTGTGTACATTCTAGGACCCCGTGGGTCTCTCCAATGCACTCTCCTGTGAGGCTGGGAGTCCCTCCCTGTGCCTAAACCCCCACAGGTGTTTTCAATCAGTGCCCCGAGGCTCTATTTCCTGATGCTGGGACCCTGGGCTGTAAGGTCTGTCTCACTGACCAGTTTCACCTGATTTATCTGCATGCAAATGTGGGATCGCCTGGACAGCCACATGCCTTGTGCACAGTGCCTCGCTTCACAGTCGCTGCCTCGCTGGGTCTGCCAGCCGCCTGCCCACCCAGGGTCTGCCCGCTGCGGTCTTGTGCTTGGGATGCCTTAGGCATCTGGTGCCCCCACTTTTTGTGCCACGACCCCTCTCCACCCAGCTGCCTGACTCCGCCCCCGCTACCAGTCTGGATGAATGTGTATATTTTAACTCCTTGGTTGTCCGACTTCCATACAGTTCAATTTTCTGTCAGATCTGATTGTTACCTTGTTTCTAAATTGTTGCTGACCTTATTTTGGCTGTGCAAGGAGGCGCAGTGTGTCTGCCTACGCCTCCATCTTGGCCAGAAGTCCATTTGATATTTATTTTTTATCCCATGCTGACTTCCCATAGTCTCTTGACACCCGTATGTGAAACTGGCTTTAAAAAATCATAAAATACTTTAGAAATAAGCCAGGCAATGACAGACAAATACCATATGATCTCACCTATAAGTGAACCTAATCAACAAAACAAACAAGCAAGAAAAATATAACCAGAGACATCAAAATAAAGAACAAACTGACAGTGACCAGAGGAGAGGTGGGAAGGGGGTAATGGGGGAAAGAAGGGAAAGGGTGAAGTCAAGGAACATGTATAAAGGACCCATGGACAAAGACAACAGGTGGGGGAGGATTTAATGTGGGAGGTGGGGGTTGGGTAGGGCAGGGGAGAGTAATGGGGTAAAATGGGGACAACTGTAATTGAAAAGAAAAAAAGTGAAGTGAATTTCATGATAATCTGCATACTATGTGCATGAGCTAAACAAAGAATAATAGACAAATAAACATGAACTAATCCAGACAAAAAATCATAATATACTTTAAAACTTAACAGAAAATAATTTTAAATAACCTGATGCTTGGGATTAGTGGAGAAATAATATTATATTGAAATTCAAATGCATTGTCTAATTACCATACCAATGAACTATCTCCAACATTATATATGTATATATAAATTCATAAGTACTGACCATTTAACTGTATCATATTTGCTAATGGCTGTGAGGCTCAACCACAACTTCTGACTTTTAGAAACTTAAATGCATCTATTTCAAAGCTTGTTTTTTTTTTCACATTTTTAAATTGTTCGAGTATAGTTGCCTCCATTTTCCATCACCAGTTCCCTCCACCCCAGCTATGCCCACTTCCCACCCTTGATCCTACCCCACTCTTTGGTTTTGTCCATGTGTCCTTTATACTTTCAGGGATCATTTCTATAGTTCCTATTTCAAAGTTTTTATGCAAGGTGACTATCTGATTTTCTCACCTTATACACCCTTTCTGTATAAACACTCCCTACCTCCCAACACACAAACTCAGAAGGGAGAGAAAAGCAAGAGTAGAAATAAAAAACAACTTCCCAGGGAAGTTCACAGACTACATTCCTTCTTCCACCAGCAACAGAACTTACAGCTTAGCATTGTACCACCTGTGAATTTCATCTGATATAATGAGGGTGGCCTAAGAGAAGAGGAAAGGGGGAGATTGAAAAGGGCCAAGTTTTTAGGATTTTACCAACAGTTGCCCTTGGTTACAACATTTGGTAATTCCAAGAGCCCCACCCTTGCATTACAAACCTTAACATTCTGCACACTACAGATAGAGGTTTTACAAGAGTTTGTAATTCCTTCAGGGCCACACTGAATGCACTGAAGGGATTCTTATCCCAGGCTTTTTTCCTATTCAAACACCAGCACTGCAGTAAAGCCTAAAAGAATGAGCTTCATTTATTATCTACAATGTTAAAGTTGAAAAGGTTAATTACTATTAGTCCATGGAAATTAAGAGTGGATAGGAAATTATTTATCACATGAATGAAGGGGCTTTGAATTGAAGCCCAAATGCAAAACCACAAACGCATAGCCAGATGCTTAGGCACCTCTTCTGCACACTAAATGTCTGTACTCGTTCCTCCCATGTACACTACTCTCTTCTTGGATCCTACATATTCACACAGCAGTGGCTGGGTTCATCACAATTTCTCCTTAAGTATAAAACTGTTGGAGAACAGCCCAGACAACTATTACAGTTGCCCCTCCCTACTTTTTCTCTCAGCTCATCCTAAGTGAAAGAACCCAGTGCATTTCAAACCCCAAGAACATCTCTTTAGACAACTTCTAAGCACTTCTTGCCAGATTCTTGTCCTAAAGCTGACAGCAGCCCCTAATGCCTGCTCCCCAAGTAGGAACTGAGTCTTATTAAATCTGGTAATTGTTGGAATCAGAAGTGGGACAGGCAGACAGACAAAGGGACACATCTAGGGGAGTGTTCATTGGTGATCCCGTGTCCTCAGGTATGTGCACTATACCTAAAACTCTGGAAAAGTCCAAGACCCCAAGTGAAAATCTCAAGTTCACCATGATTCACACTCATTTCTTCAAACCACAGCAATACTGTTGAGGTGCTTTGAGACCTTTGCCTACATTTACTTAGATGGATTATCCCCAACTTACATGCATGCACATACACATACAGAGAGACAGAGAGCAGGGAGAAAGAGACAGAGATGTACAGAGACAGAGAGAGACAAAGATTTACAGAGACAGAGAGAGACAGAGAGAGAAACAGAGAGACAGAAAGACAGAGAGAGAGAGAGAAAGGGGAGGAAAAAAAGCAGAGACCAAATCAAAACAACTTCACTGGGTCTCAAACTCTTCACTCGGATCAGTTTTTCAATCTGTGCACTATTGACATGGTGTGTCAGATAATTCTTCGTTGTGTGCCTGTGTGTGTGGAAGGGGGGACTCTCTTATAAAATGTAAGAGGTTTAGAAGGATCTCTGGCCTCTACCCATTAGATGCCAGTAACAATCCCTTCTCCCAGTTGTAACCATAAGTGTCTCCAGATATTTTCAAATGTCCCAAATGGCAAAATTTTCCCACTTCCCTCTTGAAGATCACTGCCTTAGACCAAAAGAGTCTCCCCAATATGACTCCAATCAGCATGCACATTTCCACATTACAAAAAATAGGTGCAGGATTAATTAGTCAGTCCTTTAGTACAGAGTCAAGGAGGAGGTTAGGATTTCATGATCAGAAGTCTCTCTCAGAAAGAGGAAAGGGCCCCTGTCACCTAGTAATGAGTCTTTCTTTGATGGCCTAACCTAGAATTACCCTGGCTTCCTTTCTGACATAGATTCCCACATAATGTTCAACCACCAAGTGACCCATTGGGGCCCATCCATGTGTGATTTCCTGACAAAAAAATTTCCACATTTGCTCTCTGAGAAAATTCTCATATTTGCCAAGCAAATTCATGTAAAATTTCAAAAAGAACCCCTTTTAAAAGCACTCATTGGGTCTTTTGCTAATGACCCATTGAGCTGTCAAGAAAAGGCTAAGTAAAAACACCACTTTTGGGTGAAGTGGCAGCATGTTGTGTTATTTCACTTCAATCAGTGGTGTGACAAGGCCTTCCACCTGCGGGGGGGGGGCGGTGAAAAAAACAGCAAGAAAGAAATTAGGCTTGTGTAAAAATGGTGGGTTAACTGTAGTGGAACTTATTCATCTAAAAACTTTATTGTCTCTATCTTTAGTTAGATGAATGGCCTTGAGCTAAAAAAGGGTAATAATCCATGCTCTGCTTACCTACTGAGGCGAGGAGAGGATCAAATGAGATAATAGATGTAAAATTACCTTGACAATATAATGCAGTCTACAATTATAATGTGCTTGTTATTTACATTTATTTCCAGGTCTGCAAAACTAAAAGGAAAAAATAAGCTGTGAGGGGCAGGATGGAATATTTTAATTCCCAGGGCCAAAGCAGAAAGGTTGAAAAGAACAGAATGAGATGGAAAAGCAACTTGTTAGGCTTTGAAAATAAAAACCACAGTGAGATGGATGGTTGCTAAGTACTAGCATCAGATGGTAACATGTTTTCTTTCATTGGGGCATAGAAGTGGCAAAGATCAAACTGACAAGGGAGCCAACATTATAAATGAAATCTATGAAATCTGTTGAATTAAGCATCAAGTCCCCTAAATTTCAAACAGTATTTCTCAAAAATGTATGCCTTGCAACGCAAATATTTCTCAAAATATTATTAATAGACATTTTCAGCAAATGAGTTTGGAAAACTCTGTGCCTTATATAGAGTCACAATATATAAACAGAAAGACTCCTGAAAGATATATAGTAAAGAAATCATTTTATTTTGTTTAATCCATTATTTCCAAAACATATTTGACCTCAGAACTGTATTTATTTATTTATTTATTTATGCATTTCCTTATTTAATTTATTCCCTGTTAATATTGGATTGAGAAATAAAATACTTAAAGGATTTCAGAATCAGATGGACTATAAAGAAAATGAATCAGCTTCTCTCCAGTATGTTCACTGCAGCCTTACTTACAATAGTCAAAATACGGGAGAAACCCAAATGTCCTTCAATAGACGAGTGGATAAAAAAGCTGTGGCACATATATACAATGGAATATTACTCAACCATAAAAGAGTGAAATCTTACCATTAGTAACAGCATAGACAGACCTAGAGAGTATTATGCTAAGTGAAATAACTCAGAGAAAGACAGATGCCATATGATTTTACTTATATGTTGCAATCTAAAAAACAATATAAACAAACAAAACAGAAATTGATTAATAGATACAGAGAACAGACTGATGGCTGTCAGAAGGGAGGTAGGTTGAGGGATTTGATGAAAAAGGTGAAGGGATTGACAAGTACAAATTGATAGTTACAAAATAGTCACAGGCATGTCAAGTACAGCATAGGAAATATAGTTAATAATACTGTAATAACTATGTATGGTGCACTGGAAATACTGAAGGGACCACTTTGTGGAGTGTATGATTGTCTGACTACTGTGCTATATACCTGAAACTAATACAAAATCATATTGAGTGTAAACTATAATTAAAAATAAAAAGAAAAATAAATATCAATAAAACTATTATAAAAAACTCAAAAGCCCTGGCTGAGTGGCTCAGTTGGTTGGAGCATCTTCCCATACACCAAAAGGTTGAGGGTTTGATTTCCGGTCAGGGCACATATGTAACCAAGGTTTGATCCCCAGTTGGGGCACGTTTGGGAGGCAACCAGTTGATCTTTCTCACATCGATATTTCTCTTTTTCTGTCTCAGTTCCTCTCTCTCCCCCTCTCTTTTTAAAAATCAATAGAAAATATATCTTCAGGTGAGGATTTAAAAACAAACTCAAGGAAAAAAACTGAAAATGAGTCAATAAGGTGGTTGCTGAGCATACAAGTGGTTGCATGTATACAAATACAAGCAAGAATGCTAAATCCAGAGCACTGAAAAAAGTTTTCCTGAAGTAGGACATCTAGTCCTCAACTCCCAAAAGCCATGAAAAAGAGAGAAATAAAGGAGACCATGAAAGTGATAAATTTCATTAAAGGCATGGGTTGAAAGATGTGCATTGTGTACATTACATAGACAGCCGAAGGATAAGTTGATAAGAACAAAGAGTAGCCCTGGCTGGTATGGCTCAGTGGATTGAGTGCTGGCCTGGGAACCAAAGGGCCACTGGTTTAATTCCCAGTTGGGGCACATGCCTGGGTTGCAGGCCAAGTCCCCAGAGAAGGGCATATAAGAGGCAATCACACATTGATGTTTCTCTCCCTCTCTCTCTCCCTTCCCCTCTTTCTAAAAGTAAATTAAAAAAAAAGAACAAAGAGCAATAGAGTGTGTTCAGTGAACAGCCATAACTCAATTGCTTTCTTTCCTTCTGTCTGCCTGCTTCAGGTCCTTCTGGACGCAATTGGTCTATCCTTCCACCAAATTTATACTTTTTCTTTCTCCTCCCACAGCTCCCTACACTCCATGTTCCAGCTCTTGTCCCATGGCTGCATGTCCAATAACCCTGATGCTATTTGCTATTCTAGGACTTTGATCTTATATCTACATGTTTCACTCAACCAACTACGGGAGAGGTATATGTTGCATGCAAGGAAGATTTCCTTGGGTTTAGGAGAAAGCTTTCATGGACAGTATTAAAATTGAATATCAGCCCTGGCTGGTGTGGCTCAGTGGACTGAGTGCGGGGCTGCAAACCAAAGAAAGGGGCACTGGTTTGATTTCTGGTCAGGACACGTGCCTGGGTTGTGGGCTGTGTCCCTGGTGGAGGGGTGTGTGAGAGGCAACCACACACTGATGTTTCTCTCCCTTTCTTTCTCCCTCCCTCCCCCCTCTCTAAAAATAAATACATAAAAGCTTTAAGAATAACTGAATATCATCTACCTTTATTCATTACATGCAGTTTTATTTTTAGTAGAAAACACAAATTAGAAGAGAATAGAAGCCAGGAGTGACCAAGAAAATCGAAAAGCTACATTGGAAATTGACAACTAGCTTGAAAAAAAAATTGAAGGAATCAGAAACATACACTCTAAAGAGTCCTAGAAAAATTATAAATTAAAAAGAAAAACCCCAATATTAAATAATATGGGTGAGCCCCCAAATGTACTTTTTAATTAATGTACATGTTCACACTTTCTTGAGTACTAGATTAAAAATACATTTGATGCCTTTTCCCGAAATCCTCAACAGAACCTGTAGCCACAAGGACTGCACCCTCCACTGCAACACTGGAGCATTTCCTAACTTGGAAACTAAATCTCCAACTCTTTCAGAGAGACAGTGACTAAGTACTGAATGGCAAGTGTGAAACTGCAAGAGACGGTGAGAAATGTGGCCACAGAAAGCCTTTGAAGCTTTGATCCTGCTTGCCAGACCAGGGAGCAGTACAAGAGAGAGTAAAAAGCCTAACAGTGTCAAGTCCACACCATAACTACATCTTGCAGTATCCATTCTGCCATCACCACACAGGAAATAAGGGAAGGAAAAAGTCCTTTTTTAAAACAGACCTAGAGTGGGTGTGTGGCTTCAATCTGACAGTCTCATTTTACTTCAGTGCTTTTGGGGAGGGTAGGAGTAGGCAAAGAGGGAGAGGAGGAGGTGAGAGAAAACACATAGCCATTTTTGTAATTACATTTCAGAATAATTTCATTATGTAGTTACAATTCATTGAAAGTTGTTTTTCCTTCTAGCTTCCTCCTTCCTTAAAAATCTTGCTGCACACCCTGACTGGTGTAGCTCAGTGGATTGAACACGGGCCTGTGAACCAAAAGGTCGCGGTTCAATTCCCATCTGGGGCACATGCCTGGGTTGCAGGCTAGGTCCCCAGTAGGGAACATGCAAAAGGCAACTGCACATTGATGTTTCTCTCCCTCTCTCTTTCCCTTCCCCTCTCTCTTTCCCTTCCCCTCTCTCTAAAAATGAATACAAATCCTAAAAAACAAATCTTGCTCCACTCACTACCCTTCCTGAGTATCACACAAACACACATTACCCTTGATAGGAATCAAAGCAGGCAGAGAAGCTATGTCCCATTACTTGCTTTTGTAACCAGGGATGTAAACAATATTCAGGAGGATGTTGGCCTTGCAAATAGTTTAACAATAATGGTACCATTCCACTTTAACTCAGAAAAAGATAAAAGGAAACTAAAATATTTAATAGGTACAAATATTGTGCTTCTGCTACAATCAATAAATAATGCCAACGTGAAAGAATAGCAATGTGTGGTGACATTTTGAATGATGTAATACCTCAGTGAAAGCCTTTATGAAGTTTTATGCTGCTAAACACATTAAATTAATCTCTAAGGGCCAGGACATAATGTTCTGTTATTGCTGTGTGTTTCTTTTACTATTTAATGACTCTAATTTTAAGCCTAACTCAAATTAGGGGACAATGAAGGAAAAACCCAAGCAACTTCAGGTATGACTTCATGAATCTGTACAGGAAAGAATATGAGATTTGGACATAGATACTTAGGTCTCTGGCCAGGAGGAAATTATTGCTGTGGAGCATGAGATTAGGGAGGCCAGGGCTTCAGTTTTGAATTAATCAAGCTGTGTTATTTACACATTTGATTCAGTGTATTCTACTTCAAAATGGCTTCTGGCCCCCTCAGGTTTTCACAGCTTGACTTAGAGTGAAGTCATAAAGAATAGAGCATGCAAAGCTGAATATTCCCAAGCTGGGCTAGAGTAATCATTTCCCTGAGGTCAGCAATACTTTCATGTACAAGGAGATATTTTGAGGAAAGTTTTCCCAAGTCTTAAATGTTTTCTTTTTCTCTCAGAAAGTCTGAGAAACAAAACTACTTGACTTGGCCACAAGCCATAAAACCTAATTAGTTCTGTGAATTTGTTTAATGTTTAAGCCTAGCCACTAGTGGATAACTGTACAGATCCAAAGAATTCAAAGCCTCAATGCAGAGGGACAAAAGCTAAACTCAAGATAGGGAGAAATCAATTTATCTTTAACCTGGGCACCATGAAAAAACAAAAACCTGAGGAAGGAACAGAAATTAGTTACAGAGCTTCCAGGACTCTATAAGGACTCTGGGGAATTAACCAAT